CTACATGCCTAAATGCACTGAGTTGCCGCCATGTGATTGGCTGATTAGAAATTAAGTGTTAACGAGCAGTTGGACAGGTGTACCTAATAAAGTGGCCGGTGAGTGTATATATTTGGCCTTTTAAACTGACCTACATAAATAAACTGAATTCTACAGGTTTGAAGACCTGCTTTGATCAGGCTGTGTATAAGGACTCCTAAACATGTGTGTATCATAGAATACATGCTTTATAAAAATAAACTAACCCAAAGAAAAAGGCAAGCTATTAGAATAAGACAGTAGGTTTTTACTGATTGGAAAAAAGTGATTAAATCAAAAGGAACATTTCTAAATGTTTAAAGACTAAATTACCATGTATATATCTGCACTACAGAGCCTTTTAGTTCATGTCTGATCAACTTCTCACAGCAGCACTATTTTTCTGTTGTGTCATTGGGAAAAAATGTGTCAAAGGCACATTACAGGCTGGCTAATTGCCTTTTTCCAACTCTAATGCCACTTTCAGGCTCAAAGCAATTACAGTTGTGCTGTTTCCCAAGCGTCGTCATCATCTCTCACTTCTGGGCCATGAGCCAAAACATTCGGCAGCTAAACTACACTCGACAGTTTGATCAATTCCCCAGTCTCCACTGGTTTCAAAAAGAACTGGACCAACATTAGCAGCAGTGCTACCGTCGTTCTCCATAAGTCAGGCGACTGCAATGAGAAAGAGCTTACAAAGGAACTACAACACGTTATATCTACAGTGTGTTGATGTTACATCTAATGAAGCAGCTCATTATAAACGTGAGAATGTTCACACTAATCAAATGTTGGAAAGTTATTTCTGACTGCTGATTTCCACAGAGCTCCGTAAGTCTTTGTTTTCTCAACAACTCATAGRTTTTACCAACTAGGGAAACATCCATCCATTAGTTATCCTTACCCACTTCTTCCTGTCTGGGTCACAGGGATCACTGGTGCCCATGTCCAGGAGTCCCTGCGCAAGGGGCTAGGGACACCCTGGACAGGTCGCAAGTCCATCACAGGAACACAGAGACAAAGACTCTCACTCATACCTAGGGACAAACAGGCTTTTAGCTAGAGGCGTCAATGTGTCGGAGGCTTCGTTTGGCCGATCTTCGGGTTTGCCGAGATTTAACAGACATCACCATCAATTGTTTTTCCCCCTCTGTAAATTTCGTAAGTGGAAAGAATTTGTGGGGGCTTCTTGAGGACCAAGTGAAATGAGTCAATAAATTTTGAATTCTGTGGATATTCGTTAATTTCCCCATTTCATTTTATAATTATACACTATTTAGGTTAATAAATATGGTTAAAGGAAAATGTAGAATTCAGAAGAAAATACAAGAAGCAGAATTTGGGAAAAAAATAAAAACAGATTTAGGGCCTTACTTCTTCCAAAATCCTACCTAAAAGCCTGGTGTAGCATGAAGGACCTCTCTTTCAACACGACCTCTTGACTCTACAGATCATGTCTTCTAAGTGTACTGAACTCTGTTCTCTTAAAGCTTTCTTTGTGTCAAGCTCTGACCTAACTTTGCATTTATCTACCCTTGACAGGAAATCAAGCTGATGCTACAGTTCGTTTAAATCTTATGTGATTATAATTTATAAAAGAAAAATATTATTTGTAACATGATTTGATGATGTTATTAAAAAAGGTATTCTTCAGGTGTCATACTGATCACACTAGTTGAATCTGAAATGTTGATATGAACTGACAAAACTTTAAAGTTTCCTAAACTGGGTCATTTGTCAATAAACTAATAGAAAACAAAAATAATTCCTTAGGGGATTTATCTTGTTCTTCTTTTAAAGGGTTAAGCATCAACCTTTACTTCAACTTAACATAAACTCTACTTAATTAAATTTCTCTTTAAAGTTCATTTATATTGTTATATGTTATGTGTGACTCATTAATTCCTGACTGTTCTATTTATATAATAAATTACCAAAAAGAAAATATATTCATTGAGTATATGGAGAAAAAGGTGTCCAGAATCTTACGTTCACAAACTCTGGTATACACTCACTGGCCACTTTATAAGGTACACCTTGCTAGTACCAAGTTGGACCCCCTTTTGCCTTCAGACCTACCTTAATCCATAGATTCAACGAGGTACTGGAAACATTCTTCAGAGAGTCTGGTCCATATTGACATGATAGCATCACACAGTTGCTACAGATTTGTCGGCTGCACATCCATGATGTAAATCTTCCATTCCACCACATCTCAAAAGGTGCTCTAMTGGATTGAGATCTGGTGACTGTGTTGACTGTCAGCAACAATTCTCAGGTAGGCTGTGGCGTTGACACGATGCTCATTTGGTACTAATAGGCCCAAAGTGTGCCAGGAAAATATCCCCCATACTTTTGCACCACCACCAACCTGAACCGTTGATACAAAGCAGGATGGATCCATGCTTTCATGTTGTTGACACCAAATTCTGACCCTACCATCCGAATGTCGCAGCACAAATCAAGACTCATCAGACCAGGCAACGTTTTTCCAATCTTCTCTTGTCCAATTTCGATGAGCTTGTGCAAATTGTAGCCTCAGTTTCCTGTTCTTAGCTGACAGGAGTGGCACCAGGTGTGGTCTTCTGCTGCTTTAGCCCATCCACCTCAAGGTTCGATGTGTTGTGTGTTCAGAGATGCTCTTCTGCATATCTCTGTTGTAACGAGCGATTATTTGAGTCACTGTTGCTGTTCTATCAGCTCGAACCTGTCTGACCATTCTCCTCTGACCTCTGGCATCAACAAGGCATTTGCGCCCAAAGAACTGCCACTCACTGAATATTTTTCTCTTTTTCGGACCGTTCTCTGTAAACCCTAGAGATGGACGAGACAAAACGTTTAAAGAAAAACCCATCCAGAGGACCTAGCTATTTTTTCTTTTTGATTTTTTTCTACCTGGATTACCGAGATGCATCAGGACACCTAGAGATGGTTGTGGGTGAAAATCTCAGTAGATCAGCAGTTTCTGAAATACTCAGACCAGCCCATCTGACACCAACAACCATGCCACATTCAAAGTCACTTAAATTACCTTTCTTCCCCATACTGATGCTTGGTTTGAATTGTAGCAGCTCGTCTTGATCATTTCTACATGCCTAAATGCACTGAGTTGCTGCCATGTGATTGGCTGATCCGACATTTGTGTTAATGAGCAGTTGGACAGGTGTACCTGATGAAGTGGCTGGTGAGTGTATGGGACTGATTTCTAAAAGGGTGAATAAATTGTTAATCAGTAAACACTGATCTGGTGGCCTCTACAGGTAAAACAGTGTAACAGAGTGTAGAAACAGTATAACTCTTATGTTTCTCCCCTTGTTTCATAATATAATTTTAAGGTTTGACCAAAACAACTATTATGAAGGTTTGGATCAAAGCTTTGAAAAGCTTTATGAGCTTTTGAGTTCAAACTGTTAATAGAAACAAACCAAAATTAACCCTAAATATGTTGTTYACATGCCCTCCACTGTGCTTGAGTTTAATATTTTCTACATCAGTTATCAATTGCAATCAGAGATCTTTCTAAATGTGTTAGGAGTGTGAGACTGTGTGGGGCAA